ACCCAAGCTGGAGTGCAGTGGCACAACTCAGGGCCACCGCAACCTCAACATGCTGGGCTTAGGCAATCTGTCCACCTCAGTCTTCCAAGTAGCTGGGGCTACAGGTGTGTGCCATCATGCCTGGCTAATTTTTTTTTTTTTTTTTTGAGTTGGAGTCTCACTCTGTTGCCCAGGCTGGAGTGCAATGGTACACTCAGGGCCACCATAGCTTTGACTGGCTGGGTTCAGGTAATCCTTCCACCTCAGCCTTCCAAGAAGCTGGAACTACAGGCACGGACCACCATGCCCGGCTAGTTTTTGTGATTTATTGTAGAGACAAGATCTCACCAAGTTATCCAGGGTGGTCTCAAACCTTCAGGCTCAGGCAATCCTCTCGCCTTGGCCTCCCAAAGTGCTGGGATTACAGGCTGAGCCATGGCACCTGGCCGGGCAATGTTCTTGACTACGAAAAGGATCACTGTTGTTGTTTGCCTTCACACTAGCTCACTGGCTGAAGAAGGGTTCAGACTGTATATTCGGATACTGCTGCAAACACTGCAAATTTCTAAAAGCAACCACATCCTACCACCTCAGTGTAGATGAATGTGACCTCTGAGAGTACTGGAACAGCACCTACAATTGGTGTCACACAGATAAATGCAAGCAAGATGGTACCTTTATTGTTACTAGGGCCAACACACAATCCTGAAGAATCATTAGTATGTTAAGAATCTTTGGAGGCTGTGCGCGGTGGCTCACGGCCATCATCCCAGCACTTTTGGAGACCAAGGTGAGAGGATTGCCTGAGCTCTCAGGTTTGAGACCAGCCTGGGGAACTTGGCGAGACCTCATCTCTACAATAAATCAAAAAATCAGCCAGGCATGATGTTGTGTGCCTGTAGTTCCAGCTACTTGGAAGGCTGAGGTGGAAAGATCACCTGAGCCTAGCAGGTTGAGGCTGCGGTGGCTGGGAATGTGCCACTGCCCTCCAGTCTGGGTGACAGAGACTCCAACTAAAAAAAAAAAAAAAAAAATTTTTGGAAAGGGCACAAGGGTTGCCTTGAAAAGTTGCTGTCATTACAAAGGGGGATAGGTTTAGAAACTGTGGCAGTGAGTCTAAAGGGTTGTTTAAGGTCTATGACAAGTGCAAGGCCAAAAGTGTAAAATGTGAGAGGCTGTAATGTGAAAATATTTAAGGATCCCATGCATCAAGAAACATCAAACACTCAGTTCCCCAGGTAGGACATGTGGTACTAGGGTCCAAAGTTTTTTGAAGCTACAGACAGGGCTGATGACGGGAAGTAAAGAATGGTATCCCATGTGGTCCACAAAAGATCTGTATCAAGCAATCCTGCTTAGACACCATTGTATTCCACTATGACTGCAACCTGGACAAGTGTCATGGGAGGGGTATTCGCAACAATTTTAAGAACTGACACTGCTAGCTGGACACGGTAGCTCATGTCTATAATCCCAGTACTTTGGGAAACCAAGGTGGGAGGATTGTGTGAGGCCCAGGAGTTCAAGTCCAGCCTTGGCAATATAACAAGACACTATCTCTACCCAAAAATAGAAACAAACGTTGATACTGACAATGTGGCTATGATTATGCCCCTCCTACATGTGAATCTGAGGGTCAGAGGGTAGTCTTTTATTTTTTGAGTCAGAGTCTCCCTTTGTCACCCAGGCTAGAGTGCAGTGGCACGCTCATGGCCCCTGCAGCCTCGACCTGCTGGGCTCAGGTGATCCTTCTGCCTAAGCCTTCCAAGTAGCTGGAACCACAGGCACGCACTACCACATCCAGCTAATTTTTTTATTTATTGTAGAGACAAGGTCTCTCCAAGTTGCTCAAGCTGGTCTCAAACCCCTGGGCTCAGGCAATCCTCTCACTGCCACCTTCTGAAGTGCTGGGATTATAAGCGTGAGCTACCATGCCCAGCTGGGGATAGTCTGAACAGTACCAGCTCCACAAGTCCCCTCTGATTCTCAGTATGACAAAAAGTTGATAATCCTAATTTGAGTCTTACTTAGCCTCTTATTATTTCTCATTCCTACTATCTTTTTGTTTGTCTACATTAATAGATGTTGTCAATGAAAAAATATCATTGGAGCAGCAATATGAACAAACATTCAATTATCACCTACTTCATGATAAAAAAAAAGACAAATATGAAGTGATACTGAAAGGACCTTTTAAGAATTGGAATTCTTGGCACTGGTGTCCCTCAGGAACTACAGAGATAGGAATAATTTCTTGCTTCCATCTGTTTTTTCTATATGCTGACTTCTTAATAGTTTTAAATTAAAAGAAGTTAAAGCAGCTCTCTAGGTATGGCAATCTTTCTTGTTCTGTGCTATCCAGAGCTTTGGGGCAATAAGAGGCCTCAAGAAGTGATCTTGACAGAAGAAGTCCCAGTTACCTTCCATAACTTCCATGAAGCGCATGGCCTAAAACCTGAAGCGTTATCATAGAGTTCCCTAACATTTCTATAGAGAGTGCCCTTGGAAAGCTCTCTGGAATTTACTTTACAAAGCATCCTGACTAATCTTCCACTATAATCCTCTCTGTCAATTTCTCTCATCTTAAATATTTTGCCTTCGACAGACCAAGAGAATTAATTGGGTAAGAAACATCTGATCCTAAGCCAGGTGTGGTGGCTCACACATATAATTCCAGCACTTTGGGAGGCTGAGGTGAGAGAACTGCCTGAGCCCATGGGTTCGAGATCAGCCTGGGCAACATGGTGAGACCTAGTCTCTACAATAAATTTTTAAAAAAATTCTTGGAAGGCTGAGGCAGAAGGATCGCCAGAGCCCAGCAGGTTGAGGCTGCAGTGGCCGGGAGCGGCCACTGCACTCCAGTTTGAGTGACAGAGTGAGACTCCAACTCAAAAAAAAAAAAAAATTAGCCAGGCATGGTGGTGTATACCTGTAGTTCCAGCTACTTGGAAGGCTGAGGCAGAAGGATTGCCTGAACCCAGCAGGTCGAGGCTGTGGTGGTCATAAGCGTGTCACTGCACTCCAGCCTGGGTAACAAAGTCAGAATCCAACTCAAAAAAAAAAAAAAAGAAAGAAAGAAAGAAACAATTGATCCTTAGGTCCAGATGTTTTGGTTGATTATCATTCTAATCATCTTGTTCATTTGGCTTTCCCTCTGTTTGAGCATCACAGTATGATGGGGAACCCAAAAAACCAAGAATTATCTTTTAAGGGCAGGCCCCTTGTGGTACACTTGGAATTTGTTCCTCTGGATCAAGTGGTCAATCAAAAGTTTTTTGGGGGTTTTTTTGTTTGTTTGTTTAGTTGGAGTCTCACTCTGTCGCCTGGGCTGGAGTGCAGTGGCACGCGCACGGCCACTGCAGCCTCAACCTCCTGGCCTCAGGTGATCCTTCTACCTCAGCCTTCTAAGTAGCTGGAACTGCACACGTGCACTACCACGCCAGCTAATTTTTTGATTTACTGTAGAGATGAGGTCTCACCGAGTTGCCCCGTGGGCTCAGGCAATCCTCTCACCTCGTCCTTCCAAAGTGCTGGGATTATAGGCATGAGCCACCACAACCAGCCTCAACCCATATTTTTAACAGGAAGTTTTGAGAAGGCTGTCTCATGATCTGTGGAAGAAATATCCCGAGTTTTGGCAAACAGGCAACTGGTTCTTTCAACATGACAGTGCACCTGCCAACACTGCATCAAGTGTTGAGCAGTTTTGACCAAAAAGGGCATGAGCCCCATGCCCCACCCATTCTATTCACTTGATCTCACCCCAAGCGACTTTTTGTGTTTCCTTGGTTGAAAAAAGTCTTCAAAGGGAAATGTTTAGCCGATGTGGAAGAAGTGAAACAAAAAATGGCAGGAGCACTAAAAGTCATCAGAATTGACAAGTTCAAAGCTTTTAAGCAGTAGAAAAAGCATCTCGAGAGGTGTATGGATCAAACATAGAGTACTCTGAAGGTGTCTGAAATTTAAACATGTAAGAATAAATACACAATTTTTATAAATAAATTCTGGTTTTGGTGGGTCCCTCCTCATATATGATCCCCTGACCTCAGACTGACCTTGTTAATAACTTAACTGAAGAGACCAAACATCACTTATGGATTCAAGAGGAAGAAACAAATTAGTTAGACGTTCACACTCCTGAATGAAGTGCTGAAGTCTGGGAATCATTTTTACCCCAAAATTCTAATTCTACCTACTAGTCACTCATTCACTTATTCATTTATTTATCTTGTAAACATATATTTAACACTTACTATTAGACTGAACCATGCAAAATTGGTATTAGGTCAATTTCATCTATGAAAATGTCAAGTTCATATTATTCAACCTAATTTTATATGTCTAGCCAGGTGTGGTGGTTCATTCCTGTAATCCCAGCACTTTGGGAGGCCGAGGCAGGAGGATTACTTGAGCCCAGGAGTTTAAGACCAGCCAGGGCAACACAGTGAGACTTCATCTCTACAAAAAATCAAAAAATTAGCCAGCTACTCGGGAGGCTGAGACAGAAAGATCGATGAACTCAGGAAGTTGAGGCTATGATGAGCTGTGAGCATACTGCTGCACTCTAGCCAGGGTGACAGTGAGTCTCCAACTCAAAAAATATATATTTAAAAAATGTTTTATATGTCTAGGCACAATGAAACCAATCTTGGACTTCTGGTTGTAAATGAGAGTTGAAAGTTGTTGATTTCTAGAGTTTCTTTCAGTTCCTATTTCTCTTAAATCTTATTATCCCGTAACTTCAAAAGATTGGCCTTAGTTTTCTAGAGCAGTTTTTCTAGAACAGAACTGAACATATGAGACTAGGATGTGGTGTCGCTGAAGTTTCCACTGTCACTTTTTTGATAGCAGTTGTCCTTGCTTCTTCTGAGTTTCCAAAACTCTTCACAGAATAGAAACCCAGGACTTTCCATGTCAGAGACAGTAATAGCAATGGCAAGACCTGAGCAAGTTGCTGCATGCCCCACTCCCCCACTTCCCTTGCAACCATGGAGTGGAGAGCCTGGAAACAAAACGTATACATAATAATCTAGAATTTATTTTTTCTAGAAGAGACTTAGACAAATCTAATATTCATCAGGTAATATGAGTCTATCTCTGAGACTTCCCTTTTTTGAACTGAAAAGACTTTAAGGATCACTAGTGAATCTGGAAATAACTGGAGTGATCCTCTCCAATTTACTTAGAATGACTGTTAACCATGACACTATATTCCCTTTCAGTTCTGCAGTTTAGTACATAGTTAGAAAAGGTTTAAGATGTCCTTCCCCAACATTCTTTTCAATCCATTAGTGTGAAATAATTCCAGTTCCTGGATGTTCCAGTATTGTAGTTTCAAAGAATGGTGGAGGCACTGGTAGCAAAAGCAGGGGTAGACTCCAATGAATCTAGGCCCCTGCTATAGAATCTTTTCTGTGAGCATAACAATGGTGTCTGGGTGTCTGCATCACGCCGAGCCTCTTCCTTTAGTTGGTGGAATTTGTGCTGTGTCCAGCCATATACACCACAGTTGAGCAGACCCTGGGATGTTGCCGTTAGAGCCTGGAGGAGATGAAGGAGTGAAGGAGCCCATCCTTCAGGTTTTCAGCGATCCAGGGGATAATCCCCACTTCCCTTATTTATAAAGCATTGTTATATTCCCTCTATCCCAAACATTAAGATCTGACAATAGTTTATATTTTTCTAGTGCCTCCTGAACTTACTCTTCACACTGTAAATTGTTATGGATGATTGAGAGTTGGTTATATTTCTAAGTATATACATAAGGACAATGAAGTTGCTTCAATGCCCCTCCTTACTGCCCCATTTCCCAGGTTAGGATCAAGAAAACTGCCCTATCAGCATGGTCAGATAGCCCAAAAAGTCTTCTTAAATCTGATAAAGAAGGGCGAGAGAGAGAGAGAGAGAGAGAGAGAGAGAGAGAGAATCATTCTACATATCCGCCTCCATTCACCAAAACATTATCCCTGGAGGGGACTTACTCTGGAGGGTGAGAACATCATCATTTCATAAGAACATGCCCTGGTAGATCTTGTTTTTTTGTTGCCCAAACCCTAAAAATACATCATTAAAATTAAGCTGATCAGAGATACATACGCTCTGAAATGCATGGCAGCACTTTTACAACAGTATCTACCTCGTTTCTGAGGAAATTTCACATTCTTCAGAATAAGTATAAATAATACATTTTCTCTACTCCTTTTGCAATGTAGAAATAAATAAATACCCTAAGGGAAAAAAACTGTGCTTGCTGAGTAATGGTAGTGAAAGAGAAGAGGATAAGAGACTGTGAAAAAACAGAGATACTGGATGTTAAGGATATTACCTGGAGAACATAGAGGGTCATGTGAAGCTTGGTGTCCTGTGGTCTGATAAGCTTTATGATCATCAGAATGACAGCTGTGAATACACAAAGTGTAAATCTTCTTGTCAGCCCTAACTGCCTGAAACATAATGTTCCTCAGTACACATGCCTGAGTATTATCAGAATGGAAGATATAGGAATGATAAAGACCAGCAGTGCAGGATGCGGTGCCTCACACCTATAATTCCAGCACTTTGGGAGGTGGAGGCGAGAGGGTTGCCTGAATCCAGAGGTTCAAGACCAGCCTGGGCAACTTAGCGAGACCTTGTCTCTACAATAAATCAAAAAATTAGCTGGGTGTGGTGGCATCCGCCTGTAGTACCAGCTATCTGGAAGGCTGAGGTGGAAGAATTGCCTGAGCCCAGCAGGTCAAGGCTACGATAGCTGTGAATGTGTCAGTGCATTCCATCCTGGGCAAAAGAGTGAGATTTCAACTCAAAAAATAAATAAATAAAGACCAGCAGTGAGGCTAACCAGTTATATAAACACCTGGGTCTTAGGCCTCCAACTTCTAGTCCTTATGATGAAACTTTGTAGATTATCAGTGTGGTAATGGTGACAGGATACACTATAGGAAGATAATAATTTATACTTCTCAGTATTTCAGAATTTACCAAGCTCTTTTATAAACATTATCCAATCTGATTCTTATTATAAACTTACACAGTAGGAAGGACAGGCAGTAATATCTCTGAGTCTGTCATGATAATTTTTCCTCTCATATCAGATTGCATCTCATTTCTAATTATCTTACTTTCTAAAACATAAGAGCAAAAGGAATTGGGGGGTTGGCAAAAAATGGAAATATGGGTGGGGCCAATATAAACTTCACAAGATGAATTAGAATTTGCCATCATCTTTCTTGGTAAGACCACTTTGCTTCATCAGAACCCAATAGCTGCCCTCCTCACTGCCATCTTTTCCCATTAAGATACTTACCTGGGCCCCAGCAGCAAAAGAAGGCCACTGGGTAGAGGCGCACCCGCTGGTCCACAGTGTGAATCATTGCCCACTGTTCACTTCCCAGAAACCCAGTTGATTTCACAAACTTCTTAAACAGTGTCTGGGCTTGGATGAGTAGAACCTAAACATGAGTATAGTAGTGAGCAGTTTGTTTAAGGCTTAGTAAAACTTACTAGGTCTATCCTCCTGACACTCAGAAGGCTCATTCTCTTATAATCTCACAGCAGGAGAGACCATTCTCCGGTCTTTACTGAGACCAGGCTTTTTCTAAGAGAAAATTACTTTCAGAGCGAACTTTTACTAGGCCAGGGAAATGGACAGATACTAGCCAAACTTGTGGTTATCACGTTAAACACATGAACCTTACATCAACCCTCAGGTTTTTTTCCCCCGAGGCAAATCACAATATACATAGGAAGTTAAAAGTAAGCTCTAATCAGACTCTTTTTTTTTAGTTGGAGTCTCTCTCTGTCGCCCAGGCTGGAGTGCAGTAGCCTGTTCACGGCCACCGCAGCCTCGACCTGCTGGACTCAGGCAATCCTTCCTCTCAGCCTTTCAAGTAGCTGGGACTATAGGCATGTACCACCACACCTGGCTAATTTTTTAATTTATTGTAGAGATGGGGTCTCACCAAGTTGCCCAGGCTGGTCTCGAACCCATGGGCTCAGGCAATCTTCTCACCTTGGCCTCCCAAAGTGCTGGGACTATAGACGTGAGTCACTGTGCCCACTCCCCACCTTTTTTTTTTTTTTAGGATAGGGTCTTACTCTGTTTCCTAGGAGTACAGTGGCACAATCCTGGCTCACTGCAGCCCCGACTTCCTGGGCTCAAGTGATCCTCCCAACTCAACCTCCCCAGTAGCTGGGACTACAGGCACACACCACCATGCCCAGCTAATTGTTTGTAGAGACAAGCTCTCGCTATATTGCCCAGGCTTTTCTCAAACTCCTAGGCTCAAGAAATCCTTCTGCGTTAGTCTCCCAAAGTGCTGGAACTGCAGGCATGAGCCATCACACCCAGCCCAGACACTCTTTTTAAAACACAAGATTAGACATTCTGTTTGAAAGTGTTCTATGTTTAATACCCTTAAAATAAGTACTTCAGCACATGGCTGAGCTTAAATTCTCAACTCTAAGCAAACAAGTTTTAAAAAGTCATTTCTTGCCTTTGGATAGGAAAATAGATTTGTTATTTTCCCTTCTATCTGGGAATTGTCTGATAAGGTTTAGCTCATGAAACAAATATAAATCAATGTGGTTTTCTTGTGGGTAATAATCTTGGTAACAAATCTGACCAAATCTAAATCTTTTCCCTAAAAATCTAGATCTACTCTCTAACTTAAAAGCCTAATTACATAATCAAGTTCAGCCATGTACATAGTCTCCTTTCCCCTACAGAGTTGAGCTTATTTGAGAATATTTGTCTAAAAGAATCAGTTCAGCATCCCTTGATTTTTAAACAATCTCGAATGCTAATTCTGAATGTCCACTGAAGCCTAGGTTATTTTAAAGAAACAAACAGGAACCATCAGGGTTTTGGGCTTGGGAGACTTGTCTCTTTTGTCAATCACTTGCAAAAGTAAACCCTTAAACCCATTTTAATATAAACTAGTCATTGTGTACTCCTTACAAAGTTGGCAATTTGAGCTGAGCTATCTCTATCTCCATAACTTATTTTTGAATTGTCAAAAGAAACACCCCGTAACTGTATCTGGTTCACAGGTGCTAGTGGGATAAATTTGGTCTGCAGATAGATAGTTTGTGATTCTTGACCTAGAACATAGAGGAGAAAATGATGCTGAATAGCAGATATGCCAAATACAAAGGCATATTTGCTTGCTTACTGCTTTTGTACTAAGCAGTTTTGTAACTTACTCTCTCTTGGTTGATTATTTTAATTGTAAATCATCCTGATGATATCAAATAAGTATCTAACAACTTCATGAGCCATTTAACACTTTAATCTCAGTTAGACATAGCATAATGCAAACTTATGACCAAATAAAGAATTAAAAATAAAAATTCTTTAAAATGGAAAATTAAATCAAAGCACATTTCCTACGTTCCAGGGTGTCATTCTATAAAGGATATATTTGACACATGAATTTTGTGGCCTAGTCCTCTATGGGGTTGATGAAATATATATTAGTTTAAAGTGAGCATAATTTTCACCTAATAAATACAAGTTATTTTCCCCACTAATCATTTGATTTGGGGAAGTCCAAAAGTCTGAGGTAATAATTACACTGTCAAGATCCTCTAAGCACGTTCTTAGTTCTAGAACTGTAAGAAGTGTCTTTCTGCCCATCTTTCCCAGGCCCTGGGAATACTGGCCCATTCCCCCTTAATTCTGCTCTTTACAAAGGCAGGTAGGGTGGCATGATACCATAATGGTAAGGAGGCTGAGTAGAAAGCTGGTTAGGAAAATGGTGATGCCATAAAAATAAAGTGCACTACAGACAGATGTGTTGGCAGAAGGCATGAGTTCAGTCATGGTTGATGGTGGAGAGTGCATCAGGATACACCTAGAAAGAGAATCAGTAAAAAAAGAGTAATACTAGGACAAGAGATACTCAGTACAACAAGAGTTAATAAGCACTTTATTTTATCTATCATTTTGCTAACTCTTGCTCATAACACCTTATTCCTCCCCATAGACACATTATCTTATAATCATTTTATGTTATATTTTTATTTATGTATTTTTAACCTTGACCACATTTTGCTCCATAACTCATTTCCAATACAAGCACTTTGGTCAGAATGTATGCAGAAAGTCTTTTTCCAGCTTTGTTTATAGAAACAAATAGGTATAGCCTACCATGAAAATGATATGAGAGATTTGGTCCTTTCTCACCTATGGCTCTGGCTGAAGTTGCGAAAACATTCACTGGCATTGCCCAGACAGAATACTGGTGTCACCAATAGTAGAGGTATCAGGCTGAGAGGGAAAAAAGTTATCACCTTAATATCCAGGCATTTTCATGCCCTTTCCCCTTTGTAGAAACTCTCCTGTTATTCCTGCAACTCCATCATCCTGCTAATCTCCACAAATACATCTACTTTTAATTTCTTTAAGAAAAACACCTCAAATATCTTAGATAATCCTTCTTTTCCAGTTCCTGGGGAAGTACAGTGGGGAATGGATTTTATACCTAGGTAATGAACCCTAACACAGTTTCATAGAGACTCTCTGGGAGTTCCATGGTCAGATAAAAAACCCAAGTGGATCACAATGAAAGAAAAAAATCTCTCAAGGAGCTCTGTTTCCAGTCTGTTACACTTTCCATGGTGACTAAGAATAACTTCATTCTCACTGGCCTGGAACTTTTCCAAAGCGTACCTTTAAGTAGTCAGCTATTTACCCAACTAAATATAGCCAGCTCTCTATAAGAGGAAAAGATCCAGGGGTAAAAGTTACAAAGTCTAAAACCAACTCTGGGCCAGGCGTGGTGGCTCATGCCTATAATCCCAGCACTTTGGGAGGCCGAGATGAGAAGACTGCCTAAGCCCATAGGTTCGAGACCAGCCTGGGCAACTTGGTGAGATTTTATCTCTATAATAAATCAAAAAATTAGCTGGTCGTGGTGGCGTGTGCCTGTAATTCCAGCTACTTGGAAGACTGAGGTAGAAGGATCACTGGAGCCCAGCAGGTCGGGGCTGCGGTGGCCGTGAGAGTGCTACTGCACTCTAGCCTGGGCAACAGAGTAAGACTACAACTCAAAACAAAAACAAAAAACAAAGGCAAAAACCAACTCTGATATTACCATCACTTTAGGTGAGTTTAAGACCCTTTCTGGGTTTTATTATCCTAAGAGTCTCAACCAATGTTATAAAGTGGATGAGATCTTAAAGGTCATCTATTACAATTTTTTATGATACAGAAAAAGGAATAAGAGATCCAAAGACTCAAGGAGATTTGTTCAAGGTTACCTAGTGTTGATGGAAGAGCCCAAATCCATAACATCAAACTACTTAACTATTTCATGTGGGAAAACTGAACAATGAGCACATATTTGTCACTCCCTACTAAGTAGGGCTCTGTGAGGACTTAGCAGTGACAGTGGAAATAAAGGGCATTGTTCTATTTGTTCCCACCTGAGCACCGGAATAATGAGAGCCTGTAATTTGCTAGAAAGGGAAGAAAAAAATCTTACCTTGACAAAATGAAGGCCATTTGACTAACTCGACAAGTATAATCTATCACCTATGAAAAGAATAAATGTGAGTAATGTCTTAGCACATTGCCAATAGCATTACAATAGATACCAGCTCATCATTTCAAAAGAACAAAAAGATTTCCAAGAGTCAGATTGCCTCTGTCAAGTAATATTTGCTATGAAATTCATCAAACAGATAGTTCTTTAGCACTGGCTATGATATTCTAAAAAGTACAACATGGCCAGGTGTGGTGGTTCATGTCTGTAATCCCAGCACTGTGGGAAGCTGAGGTGGGAGGACTGCTTGAGCCCAAGAATTTGAGATCAGCCTAGGTATTATAATGAGATTTTGTCTTTCCAAAAAATTAACTGGCAGGATGTTACATGCCTGTAGTCCCAGCCACTTGGAAGGCTGAGGTGGAAGGATCGCCTGAGCCCAGGAGGTCGAGGCTGCAGTGAACCTTGATCATGCTACTACACTACAGCCTGGGCAAAAGAGTGAGACCTAACCAAAAAAAAAAAAAAAAAAA